TTGGCCACGCCGCAATCCCTTCTCCTCCATTCTCCTCTCAGGATCTTGGGCACGCATGCACATGCGCCCGGCGTGAGTTTAAGCCACTGGGTCCAGGACATGAACCGCGGTCGAGTACGTGGGAGTCCAGTGACATAGCCATTACACTAACTGCTGGTCCTCTAATTTTTGTTTGTTTGTTTGTTTTTGTTTTTGTTTTTAGAACTATTTATTTAATTTTATTTATTATCATTATTCTCCAATTTGACCAGAGAAAGAGAATGAGAAAGCAAGCCGCCAGGCCCGGGACTTGAACCGTAGTTGGCCATATGGGAATCCAGTGCCTCAACCACCATGCCGGCCACCTGCTGGCCCCTGGAAGTTTTGATTGTAAAGAAAAGAACCTATACAAGCCAGCCAGAAAAGAAAGGGGATTGATGGGAAAGACAGTGGAAATAAGTGAAGTCCAGGACTTGGAGGTGGGGGACACTGTGGCCACCATCTTTCTCTGTAGTCGTCCTCTGGGCCCCTGCACTGCTTCTCTGTCCATCTGCTCTAGCCCCTCCTGCAGGCCAGCCGGCCTCTCCTATGAGAACGTTTTGTTTTCTCATCAATTTCATTTGCAAGTAGCTTTACTGGACCTGGCGTCATCTCGGCTGTGTGGCTCCGGGGCTCACCCATATCCAGGCTGATGTCCTCCCTCTTCACGCAGATTAGGAGAGCGCCAATGGGCTCAGCCCAGCCCGTGGACGGGCCTCTGCCTCGTTGCTGCTCTGGCCCTGCCCTGCTGGGTAGGGGCGGGTTGTGTGGTGTAAACCGGCTGTGCAGAGGCTGGAGGACGTCTCACAGAGAAGATGGGTGCAGTGGTCAGGGGAACGCGCGGAGAGGGGATGGAGACGTGTCTGGACCCCGTGGGCACTGGGTGCCAGTGTGAGAGGCAGGATGATCACATCTTGTGGGGAGAGGGAGGGCGCATTGGTTAGAGGTGAGAGGATATGGGAGTCGGGCTATGGTATTACCACGTGTAGAGCATGGTGGGGGCTTTAGTAAATCACAGACGGCCGCAGACTTCACTCCTCAAAAAGGCGGTATGGGCTCCGGGGTGACTGCAGAGACATCTAAACTCACTTAGATAAATTCGCTTGTCTGAAATGCACCAACAAACAGACAAATGAACAAAACAGAAACCAAAGTCCAAAGCTCATAGAACCTAACACCAAAAACCAACAATGACACTATCATTGTCACCCCCGATCCTTCCTCTCTGAAGCTGCAGCCTGCACAGACAACCTTCCCCATCCTCCACAGTTCTCTGCTCTTCACGTCAGAGAAACGATGTGGGGGTCAGTAGGTGATGTGGAGGCTAAGGTGCAGGATTCCCTCAGGGCTGACCATGGTTCAAGTCCCAGACCCAGAGGCTTGAAAATCATGCTGGACGCATGTGTGTACATGCCCCAAAACCCCAAGAGGAGAATGGAGGAGAAGGGATGGTGGCATGGCCATCCCCCTTGGGAGTGACCTCTCACTTTCCCCTTTCTCTGTTTCTTTTCATCTCTCTCTGGCAAACACACATGCCCTATGGTGAAAACTTGAAAAAAGATAAAAGAGTGTGAAACAAGTGGGAAATGTTGCTAGACCCCCAAAGAATTTTATAGGTGTGCTTGTGTCCTACGGCCTTGCTTCCACCTTGGCAGCACCAGGAAGTCCTGCACCTTTGTGTAAGGCTAGGGGGTGTTCTGCTGTGACGGTGTGACCACCTGACTCCTCACCCTCACACCCGCAGCCAGACTCAACCATGATGTAGGAACCATGTTCTGAGGAACTGAGCAGAATCCACTGTATTAAATTCAGCCTCCTGACACTCCTCAGAAGGAAGGAGAGGGAAGTGTCTTCCCACTTCTCAGGCAGGAGACAAAGGCCCAGCCCTGGGATGGACTTGGCTGCGCCTCCACAGCTCATCTGAAGCCAATAGATGTGGAGCATCTTGACTTAAGTGAGACCATCTTGAAACTCTAGTGTTGCCAGGGCTGGTCTGACCCAGGGAAGAGGTCCTGCAGCTGAGCTCCTCAGATTGCCTCGTCAGGGCACGAGAGGCCA